GAGGAGACTCTTGAGAGTCCCCTGGACTGCAAGGAGAACAAACCTATCCATTCTGAAGGAAATCAACTTTGAGTGCTCACTGGAAGGACAGATCCTGAAGCTGAGGCTCCAATACTTTGGCCATCTCATGAGAAGCAAAGACTCCCTGGAAAAGACCCTGATGCTGGGAAAGTATGAAGGCAGGAGGAGAAGGGGAACGACAGAGGACGAGATGGTTGGACAGTGTTATCAAAGCTACCAACATGAATTTAACCAAACTCCGGGAGGCAGTGGAAGACAGGAGGGCCTGGCGTGCTCTGGTCCATAGGGTCACGAAGAGTCGGGCACAACTTAACGGCTAAACAACAACAACAACAAACCCCTTAGTAATTCAAAGGGAGTATTTGGGCCACTGAGTCTTACTTCTAACTACTTTAGTAGATACTCAGGATGCAAGATGTGTCACAGATCAATGATTAGCCTTTCTCCCATTTGTTTCTTTGCTAGATGTCTCGAACTGAAATAGTTTGAGACACTGTAGAAATGCCAAACTCCTAGTACTCTCAGGAATGCAAGGAAAGGTTTTCAGATCAGCATTTGGCAACTCCCAAACATGCTTATAGTCTAGGACAGCAATGCCGAACCTATGGCACGCATGCCACAGCTGGCACACAGAGCCTTCTCTACGGGCACATGAGCCATAAATTGCCATATTTCCACTCCCCCACCCCCTTCGCAGCCAAACCTGAGGAGGAGACTACAGTCACAGTGCTGGCACCCCGACAGGTGGCGGGCCAGGATCCAGAGCAGCTGGCACTGGTTGTGGATCCAGAGTGGGGTCTCATTCCCCCTTCCCTGCCACTTCCGCTGCCACCACTTGCGCTTCCGCCACTTCCTGCTGGTTTTTTTTCCAGTTTGGGCACTCGGGCCCAAAGAGGTTCACTGTCACCGGTCTAGAGGGAGCAGGGAATTAACTGTATACTCGGTTTTTCCTGTCCTTCTTACAGTTTGGCAAAGGACAAAACCTCGATCGTCCCACTTCTGCATGGACTCTTGTTGGAATTAACTCTTTTTTTAAAAAAAAAAGATTTAAAACAAGACAATAGTCTTATGTTCAAAAGAGCAAGATATAAATATATCCAAAGGCTCTTGCCCATGGCAAAAAAAGATCTGAATCCTAAGGAGATAGGGCCAGACAAATGAAGGCTTATGCACAACAAGAGGAACAGACCGAGCAATGCTAATGGGGCCCAATAATAACCTTCATATATGTATATGTATGAAGGAAAGCAAGCCACAAATAACATAAGCTCTGGTGTCTAAACATGAATGCCAGGAGTATGGGAAACAAACAAGAAGAACTGGAAATCTTAGTTCAGGAGGGTAAATATGATGTGATGAAACTTGGTGGGATGACTCCCATGACTGGAATACAGCAATTGAAGGATATATAAATTGTTCAAAAAGTACAGAAAAAATTAGAAAGGGTGGTGGAGTCAGAGTATAGTAAGGACAAAACCTCGATCGTCCCACTTCTGTAGGGACTCTTGTTGGAATGAGCTCTTTTTTAAAAACGCAAGATTTAAAACAAGACAATAGTCTTATGATCAAAAGAGCAAGATATAAATACAGTGGTGCCTCGCATAGCGAGGTTAATCCGTTCCAGATTAACCTTCGCTATAGCGAAACATCGCTGAACCGATCAAAAACCCCATTGGAACGCATTAAACGATGCCCAAATGGGCCCAAAACTCACCGTTCAGCGATGCTTCCTATGGCCGGCAGCCATTTTCGTGCCCTCGGTAAGCGAGGGGAGGGCGCGAAAACGCTGCGCGCGGCCATTTCGGGGCTTCCGGCGGCCGTTTTGTCCGCCGAACAGCTGATTGTCGGGGCTTCGTTTTGCGAAGATCGGTAAGCGAAACACTTGCCAATCTTTGCAAAGCGAGTTTCGCCCTATCTAAGCGTCGTTGAGCGATCGCATTAGCGATCACAAAAAAGGGATCGCTATGCGATTTTGTTGTTGTACGGTGCGCTCGTTAAGCGAGGCACCACTGTATATCCAAAGGCTCTTGCCCATGGCAAAAAAAGATCTGAATCCTAAGGAGATAGGGCCAGACAAATGAAGGCTTATGCACAACAAGAGGAACAGACCGAGCAATGCTAATGGGGCCCAATAATAACCTTCATATACTGTATATGTATGAAGGAAAGCAAACCACAAATAACATAAGCTCTGGTGTCTAAACATGAATGCGAGGAGTATGGGGAAAAAACAAGAAGAACTGGGAATCTTAGTTCAGGAGGGTAAATATGATGTGACGAAACTTGGTGGGATGACTCCCATGACTGGAATACAGCAATTGAAGGGTATATAAATTGTTCAAAAAGTACAGAAAAAATTAGAAAGGGTGGTGGAGTCAGAGTATAGTCAAAAGTACATATTACTGTACAGAAAGGAAGACGAGCTTGGTTGTCACATTGAGAGCATCTGAGTTAACATAAATGGGGCAAAAAATGAAAGGAATGTGATAATTGGAATCTACCACCAACCACCAAATCAAGGAGAAGGTACAGATGACACCTCTGAAAATCAAATTGCAAGAATTTCAAAGAGACATGACGTACGTAGTAGTAATCAGAGATTTCAATTATCCTGGTATCTGTTGGACCTTCCAAGAAATTCCTGACCTGTGTTGCTAATAATTTCTAGGAAGAAACTAGAGGATTAACTATCTTAGACTTGATTCTAACCAATACAGATGATGTGGTGAAAGAAATGGCAGTAAGGAGGAGAGTGACCATGTTCTACTTAAGTTCTTGATTTCAGAGGAAACACAATCAGTGTCCAGTTTTGGTACCCTTATCATCGGATCATCATCCTTGAATTCCTCACACCAGAACATTTGAGGTAATAAACTCATACATTACTAAGTGCAGATGAGACTGGTTTCTCCCTAAACAACCTCTAAGTAACCTCCAGTGTCCACCAGTTTATACCAGTAGTCAAAGAGTTGGGCACAGGGGACTATTGGGGATACCTTGCTATGACAACAGCACCAGTTTATACCAGTAGTCAAAGAGTTGGGCACAGGGGACTACTGGGGATACCTTGCTATGACAAAAGTCTTTTGCAAGAGCACGACACCTACCTTCCTTCCTTCCTTCCTTCCTTCCTTCCTTCCTTCCTTCCTT